ATGTCGACGTGCTTTTGGAGAAATGTTGGTCGGCCGGCCACTCCTGAGAAAGTTCACCACTGTTCCATGTTTCTCCATTTGTGGATCATGACTCTCACTGTGGTTCACTGGAGTCCCAAAAACCAAAAAACATAGCAAAAATCTTATACTGATAAATATTAATAATATGAATCCTGAGCTCCATCAGACGATAAGAGGATGTAATACACCATGGTTTAGTTACAAATGTAATTTTCTCACATTCTAGTCTAATGAGAACCATCTATCCACCTACACACCGCTTAGTCCTCTGTAGAGTTGCAGGCTGGAGTCTATCCCAGCTGACTTCAGGTGAAGGTAGAGTTCAAACCACACATAAAGACAGACAACTAAGCACACACGCATTCATGGCTACGGACAATTTAGAATCAGCAATTGACCTTAGCGTGTGGTAGGAAGCTGCTTAGGGAGAACATGTAAAGTCCACACAGACACACGGGATGCGAACCAGCGACCTTCATGCTCTGAGGCTGCGGTGCTAACTACAGAACCACCGTCTGATCTGCAAAGACAACAGTTTATATATAGAATACAATAGAACTTTATTGATCCTTTTGGTGGAAACCTCAGGGAAATTGCTGCACCAGCAAGAACAACACCAACACAACCTCAGCAACAATAGCAACAACAACAATAGTAATAATAACAACAACAACAACAATGGATACGGTAACAAATTGCCAAAGTGCCAAAATATTGTACACATATATTCGTTATATTCGTACAAGAGAACTTTAGAGAACTAGAAAAGCACTCGGAGAGCGCAGACCTCCGCCAAGCAGCTAATTTCTACCATATTGTGATTTCCACCCAATATTAAAGTCCTGCATTCATTTTATCTACACTACTAGATTCATTGACAACCAAAACATAGCTTTAGCATTTGAATTAACATTGATATCATTAATGAGAAGCTGACGAAGTGATGAACGGTCATTCTGTACTCTCAAATATTTTGTACACTTCTATTATTTCTGCAGTTACTGACTGGCTTTTAAACTGGTAGCTAACGCTATGCTAGGTTGGCATAACTACAGCGACGTTATTGCTAACAGAAACTGACAGGGAGTAGCTTAAGCTAGGTTAGCACAACTTTAGCAATGCAACATAACTGAAAAGCATGATGA